AATCAATATTTATCTCTATCTATCTAACAGCATTCCCTCCCCTTCCCTCCCACCCCTGGTAACCAACAAAGAAAATGTCCTCCAATATATAAACATTTTTTGGATTTTTTTTTGTATGCACATTGTTTACCTCATTCAGCTGCAGTTGTAAACCATTGACTTTATCCAACAATATCCTTTGTTCTTGTTGAATTTTTCTCAACCTCTCTTTCAAATCTTCATTTTCAATCTCCAGATCCTTAAAATAAAAGATAACATGTACTAGACTATCCTTCTAAGAGATTCTTATAGAAGAAATTTTAAAAGACAGTTTTCTATCACATGAAGGTATATACATGTATGAAACAGCTCTAAGTAGAAAAGAGACAATAATTTCAATGACAAGCACAGGAATGACTTAAAATCTACAGATCAGAAATAATACAGAAAATTCCAGCTCTACGATATCTGTTTTTGTTATGTGCCATCACCTTGATTCTGACTCACAGCGATCCTATATGACAGAGTAGAACTGCCCCGTTGGCTTTCTTAGGCTGTAATCTTCACAGCAGCAGGTCACTAGGCTTTTTCTCCAACAGAGCAGCTGTGGTATTTGAACTCAAACACAGGGTTGCTATGAGTTGGAATTGACTGGACAGCACATAACAAAAAAAAGTGAGGTGATAGTGATAGACACACTATCACTTTTACTAGCATAATTAATAATTTCCCAAAATTAATATAAAATTATGGTTTATACCATAAAACAGACATTTAAATTAACAAAGGCTTACATAAAGTTGTTAAATTATTTGTTCCCAATATACACTAAAGCAATACTTTCTATACCACATAGTGTCATATATATAATACTGACTCAAACATTTGTACCTAAAGTCAATTCTTTATAGAAGGGATTGGTCAAGAAGACAAAATCTCAAGCCCTAACAAGGGACGCACCCCTTCCTTGACTCATGTTCCCTACTTTTTTGCTCCCATCTTTTCCTCCTCTCTACCCAATCCCACTGGAAATCTTTGTAAAGATACCTAATTTTTTACCTGAAAGTTTTGCTGCTCCCTCTGATTTGACGTCGTATTCACTTCTTGCATATGTGTCAAATGTCGCTTGGTAAAACATAACAAAATACAGGTGAGCAACAATAAGCCTAATCAGTGACTTTCCCTTTACTCAACATTAAATTTTGCTGTACATAACACAAGGTGGCAGTATTGCCATTTAAAACCCCAAAATAGAAAGCACCTTTAAGTATGTGGCATTTAAATAAATGAAGTATAATTTATGCTTAAATACGAAATAATACCGAAGTTGAAAATACTAAACGTTAAGGATTTGTTTTATAACTGAAGTCACTAAATTTTAAAAAAGAGAATTTGTACTAGACACAAAGTTGCATTATAATATATCACAACCATCCCCCCGCCCCCCCAAAAAAAGCTTGCTGGGAGGTAGGGTATTACATTAATGTTGAAAGAAATATCGAAATTATTTCACTCCTCTGAGCACAGCTGAAATAAAATATTCAAGGGGCGTGGTAAGGAGACAGACACAGTGCTCTGCCCTGAGCTGAATAAATGATCACTAAATAACTTGGTTGGGTGTATGTTCTCTTTTTGTACACTCACCGCTTTGAAACTTTATTCTAGCTTAGAGATTTGCTTGAATAAAAACATAACACAATTATTAAACAAGAACAAATAACCTTTTTTTTTTTAACCCAACTGACCTCTGTGTCTTTACAATAACTAATTTAGAAAGCTACTTCTTGCTTCCTTTTTGAGTTATATAAAAGCTGATGTTGTAATTGTCCCAAATAGTATTTCTCATGTTTATTATTACTAGATACATGTGGGATTTTTCTTTTAATTTCTCTGTTTACAAATCTCATTGATTTCTATTTAAATGACTTTTTAAAATATCCTAATGAATCTGAATTTGAAATTTGAGGGACATGGTCCCACTAAAAGATATTCTGTAGCTACAATTTGGCCCAAACTACATTTCTAGCCTCATCTCTTCTACCTAAAGCACTGTTCTTCTGGTGGAATCTGATCAGTCGTCCAATTGCTCACTTTACAATGCTACTTTCATTCCCAGCCTTCCTTTCAGAACCTCCATCCTCCACTCGCCACCCCATCCCAACTCAAACTTCCTAAACCAACCAATCTTCTGCACAAAGCCTCGCCACATTGAAACAATCTCTCTTACCCTTTGAAGTCACACAGCAGTAAAGATCTGTGCCACTGACTTGGCATTCAGCTCTTGACTTAGGTTATCTATCAGTTATAGGTGGATGTGTATCCAGAGGCCTTAGATATGAGCCCTACAATCTGGCACTGGTTGTCTCACCAGTCTCTTCTCCTGCCACCATCCATCGTATACATCCACTCCTGTCTCTCTGGCCTTCTACTGACCCATGGACATGCTAAACATGCTCTCTCATCAGAGGCTTGGTATTTTCTCTTCCCTTTGCCTGTGAGGCTTCTTCCACAAAGCCCCATGGCTCCCTCACTCATGTCTTCAGACATCTTCTTCAAAGAGGCTTTTGCTGACTATTCAACCTAAAACAACTTACCAACCCTCCCCCTTCACCCTTTAATCTTGCTTTGCTTTTCTCTACTGCATCTACTATGATACTGAATATTCATTTGCTTATTGTTCATCTCTGTCACTAGACTGAGAGGTCCATGAGGGCAGGGTCTATGTGTTGTACACTACAATATCCCTAGCACTTAGAACAGTAATCTGTGTATTGCAGGGGCTCAATAGATATTTGTTAAACAAACATTTGAATATTTATTTTTATCACAACAGGGTTTCTTGATAACAGGGATTATATGTAATACATATACAAGAACAAATCCTAAACAGATTCTCAATCCATATATTCAATATATAATGGAGACAAAGTAATTAGAGGCCATGAATCTTGCTGTTCCTACTAGAATATTAATACCTCATATTCATTTAGATAATTCCTAGAGCACGGAGCAGAGTGCCTTTCCCATATTGATATTAAATAATAATTTATTTCAATTAACTGTATAGTTCAGATTCTATGAGATGGCTGATACAGGTCATACATGATAAATTTCATTTTGCTCTACCCCCACCCAGGCTATCTAAGGAATGGGAGAATATTGGAACAGTTGCTCTGGATGGAACAGAAAAGTGTAACAGACATAATACATGCATGAATGTGTCACTTAATTCTGATGGATTAAAAGGGAAAGCATGCTTTAATACAGCTTTCGGGTTCAAGTGAAGTAGAGAAATGACAGAATGATGATCAGAATTGCTCAGAAGGTACCTGATTACTTTCTTTCCAGGGTTTGGAAGTGCTTGGGTTCCTCTCACTAGAGAAAAGCTGAAAGCCTGGAAGGGAACAGCCAGCAGAAGAGGAAAGCTGCCTACACTAGCTTTTGAGAAAGATGGTAAGAGTGCTGTAATCCCACTTACTTTAGCTTAAAGAGATTAGGGGGAAACAATAAAACATTTACTCAAACTGGGACAGAAAACCAGGGTTAAACAATGATTTGATAAAATCAGTATGAAAAGTACCCAACAGTGAAGTATAAATTACTTCATGTGTTGTGTTATCACTTTCAAGTCAAGTCATCAATCAATAAAAGTAGTTCCCAGATTACAAACTAGTTACATTCCTAAATATGCCTTTAAATTGAATTTGTACATAAGTTGGAGCAGTTAGACACAGTTCATATCATATCTAATATCAGTTAGTCAGATATTTGTCTTAGTACTTTTCTATACATAAAATCATTAAAGAAACATTTCCAGATACACTAACTTATCTTTAATACAGTAATTACATTAATAATAATGTTTTGATATATTTCTCGAAGCAGCACCCATTTGTTACTACAAACCATTGTATATACCTCCAATTTTTAATATTATAGGCTTTACAGGGTTGGTTTGTAATCACAGGTTGTATGCAAGTCAGACATTCCTAACACAGAGACTGCCTAGTCCCATTAAAAGATATTCTGTAGCTACAATTTGGCCCAAACAACATTTGGGGGAAAAAAAGACTGGGAAGAAATGAAAATATTAACTAATATTGAAATCACTATGTGTAACAGTTTTGAATTGTTTTCCTCATTTTGCATGACACCTGAAGAACTTTCTAACAATGGCAAATATTTGACTGTTATAATTATAAAACAGCAGAAATTTGCCTATGATGTGATACACTAAAACCCATCATTTAAGAATCTCAACAAGATGCGATATCTCATACTTGAAAGGACTGGATATTCAAGGCTAACATCAGGAGGCCATTTATTTCCCACAGGCTACATCATTGTAATTGAGATCTACTATCCAGGTGAGTGACAGGGCCTTCGTGGCTTTAACAGTGAGATATGCATGAGCATGACTAACTGAAGGAAGAGATGAACTTGCATTTGAACACAAAACAGTTATGCATAACCATTAATTAGTTTTACTAAGCACTTTACTTGGAGCTCTGGTGGTGCAGTGCCTAAGGCATTTGACTGCTAACCAGAAGGCTGGTGGTTCTAACCCACCAGCCACTCCTGTGAAGGAAGACTGGGCAATCTACTTGCACAGAGATATCACCTTGGAAACCCAAAGAGGGGTTCCTATGAATTGGAACTGACTCGACAGCAATGAGTTTAAGCACTTTACTTAATTGTATAATAGAATTTTTTAAAATTAAGAGCTACCTGTTGCAAAGATGGTCCTTTCTTCCAAAGTTCTCTCCCTGAAGATGTAAAGAGAAAGAGACAAGAAAGAGTAACAGTGAAGCAGTAAGTTAATTTGGGTAGATACACATCCTCTAATTATACAATTTCTGGCAGTGCAATGGTTAAGCCATCTGGCTGCTAACCAGAAGGTTGGTTGGTTTGGATCCACTAGCTGCTCCGTGGGAGAAAGATGAGGCAGTCCACTTTTGTAAAGATTTACAGTCTTGGAAACCTTATGGGGCAGTTCCACTCTTTCCTATATGGTTGCTATGAGTTGAAATTGACTTGATGGCAGTGGGTTTGGTTTTTTGATTAACTATACAATTTAGAGTCAACATTAAAAACACTAAACATTTTTAAAAACATTAAAAATGCTAAACTTTCCCTAATGCTTAGTACTCTATAGTCTTATATTTCCATAAATTATGCTTAAAACAGTAGTAAAATGCATTGTTGTAAAGATAGCACATAGTAAATGCATTGTTGTTTATCGAGGTGGCAGTTACTTCAATAGGACGGTATGTAGATAGATCATAATAAATGTTATGGAGAGGAGGCAGGTAAAAAATTGGAAATTTAAAACAGTTCTAATTTGGAAGGTCATTTTGCATCATATCAAAAACCTTTAAAAATGTGCATATGCTGTAACCCTGTGATTCAATTTTTAGGAGCTGATCCAAAGGGGATAATTGTTGATGTTAGATGCCGTCGTGTCACTTCTGACTCATAGCAACCCCATGCACAGCAGAACGAAACACCGCCCGATCCCGTGCCACTTCCATGATCCTTGCTATACTTGAGCCCATTGTCGCAGCCACCATGTCAATCCATCGCATTGAAGGCCTTCCCCTCTTTTGTCGACCCTCCACCTTACCAAGCATAACATCCTTCTACAGGGAATGGTACCCTCTGACAACATGACCAAAGTAGGTGAGACGAAGTCTGGCCATCTTCGCTTCCAAGGACCATCTCGGCTGCACTTCCTCCAGGACAGATCTGTTAGTTCTTTTGGCAGTGCATGGTACCTTCAGCATTCTTCGCCAGCACCACAACTCAAAGGCATCAAGTCTTCTTTGGTTTTCCTTATTCATTGTCCAGCTCTCACATGCACACGAGGTGACTGGAAACATCATGGCCTGTGGTCAGGAGCACCCTAGTTCTCAAGGAGATATCCTTGCTCCTCAGCACTTGAAAGAGCTCCTTCGCAGCCGACCTACTCATTGCTACACATCCTCTAATGTCCTGACTGCTGCTTCCATTGGCATTGATTGTAGAACTAAGCAACATGAATTCTTTGACGTCAATCTTTTCTTCATTTATCGTAAGGCTGCTTATTGGTCCAGTTGTGAGGATTTTAGTCTTCTTTATACTGAGATGTAATCCATACTGCAGACTGTGTTCCTCAATCTTCATCAGTAAGTGCCTCAAGTCATCCTCACTTTCAGCAAGCAAAGTTGTATCATTAGCATATCTCAGGTTGTTAATGATTCCTCCTCCAATCCTGATGCCATGTTTTTCTTCATATATCCAGCTTCTTGGATTATTTGCTCAGTATATAGATTGAATAAATATGGGGAAAGGATACAACCCTGACGCACTTCCTTCTTGATTTTAAGCCACGCAGTGTCCCCTTGTTCCGTTCGAACGACAGCTTCCTGGTCAAGGTTCCTCATGAGTACAATCAAGTGTTTGGGAATTCCCATTCTTCTCAATGTTATCCATAATTTGTCATGATCCACACAATCAAATACCTTTGCATAGTCAATGAAGCACAAGTAAACATCTTTCTGGTATTCTTTGCCTTCAGCCAAGATCCATCGGACAACAGCTATAATATCCCTTGTTCCACATCCTCTTCTGAACCCAGCTTGCACCTCTGGAAGTTCTCTGTCAATATACTGCTGCAACCGTTCTTAAATTATTTTCAGTAAGATCTTACTTGTATGCAATATTAATGATATTGTTCCATAATTTCCACATCCTATGGGATCACCTTTCTTTGGAATGGGTACAAATATGGATCTCTTCCAGTCAGTTGGCCAGGTAGCTGTCTTCCAAATCT